GTGAACCATGCCTATGAATGCTGATGCGATGTAATTGCATCTGAACATTGATAAGTGAACCATGCCTATGAATGCTGATGCGATGTAATTGCATCTGAACACTGATAAGTGAACCATGCCTATGAATGCTGATGCGATGTAATTGCATCTGAACTGATAAGTGAACCATGCCTATGAATGCTGATGCGATGTAATTGCATCTGAACATTGATAAGTGAACCATGCCTATGAATGCTGATGCGATGTAATTGCATCTGAACATTGATAAGTGAACCATGCCTATGAATGCTGATGCGATGTAATTGCATCTGAACACTGATAAGTGAACCATGCCTATGAATGCTGATGCGATGTAATTGCATCTAAAGTGAACCATGCCTATAATGTGAACCATCTGCCTATGAATGCTGATGCGATGCGATAATTGCATCTGAACACTGATAAGTGAACCATGCCTATGAATGCTGATGCGATGTAATTGCATCTGAACACTGATAAGTGAACCGATGCATCTGATGAATGCTGATGCGATATAATAATCTGAACATTGATAAGTGAACCATGCCTATGAATGCTGATGCGACCATCTGAACATTGATAAGCTGAACCATGCCTATGAATGCTGAACGATGCGATGATGTAATTGCATCTGAACACTGATAAGTGAACCATGCCTATGAATGCTGATGCGATGTAATTGCATCTGAACACTGATAAGTGAACCATGCCTATGAATGCTGATGCGATGTAATTGCATCTGAACACTATAATGCTGATGAACATGATAATGCTGATGCGATGTAATTGCATCTGCCTAATGAATGCTGATGCGATGTAATTGCATCTGAACACTGATAAGTGAACCATGCCTATGAATGCTGATGCGATGTAATTGCATCTGAACACTGATAAGTGAACCATGCCTATGAATGCTGATGCGATGTAATTGCATCTGAACATTGATAAGTGAACCATGCCTATGAATGCTGATGCGATGTAGTTGCATCTGAACACTATAAATGAACCATGCCTATGAATGCTGATGCGATGTAATTGCATCTGAACACTGATAAGTGAACCATGCCTATGAATGCTGATGCGATGTAATTGCATCTGAACACTGATAAGTGAACCATGCCTATGAATGCTGATGCGATGTAATTGCATCTGAACACATGATAAGTGAACCATGCCTATGAATGCTGATGAATGCTTGCATCTGAACATTGATAAGTGAACCATGCCTATGAATGCTGATGCGATGTAATTGCATCTGAACATTGATAAGCCATGCCTATGAATGCTGATGCGATGTAATTGCATCTGAACATTGATAAGTGAACCATGCCTATGAATGCTGATGCGATGTAATTGCATCTGAACATTGATAAGTGAACCATGCCTATGAATGCTGATGCGAACCATGTAATGCATCTGAACATCTGAACAGAAACCATGCCTATGAATGCTGATGCGATGTAATTGCATCTGAACATTGATAAGTGAACCATGCCTATGAATGCTGATGCGATGTAATTGCATCTGAACATTGATAAGTGAACCATGCCTATGAATGCTGATGCGATGTAATTGCATCTGAACACATAAGTGAACCATGCCTATGAATGCTGATGCGATGTAATGATCTGAACACCATAAGTGAACCATGCCTATGAATGCTGATGCGATGTAATTGCATCTGAACACTTGATAAGTGAACCATGCCTATGAATGCTGATGCGATGTAATTGCATCTGAACATAAATGAACCATGCCTATGAACCATGCCTATCTGAACATTGAATGAACCATGCCTGATGCGATGTAATTGCATCTGAACACTGATAAGTGAACCATGCCTATGAATGCTGATGCGATGTAATTGCATCTGAACACTGATAAGTGAACCATGCCTATGAATGCTGATGCGATGTAATTGCATCTGAACATTGATAAGTGAACCATGCCTATGAATGCTGATGCGATGTAATTGCATCTGAACATTGATAAGTGAACCATGCCTATGAATGCTGATGCGATGTAATTGCATCTGAACACTGATAAGTGAACCATGCCTATGAATGCTGATGCGATGTAATTGCATCATCTGAACATGCTGATGCGATAAGTGCCTATGAACCATCTGAACCTATGAATGCCTGAATGCTGATGCGATGTTTGCATCTGAACACTGATAAGTGAACCATGCCTATGAATGCTGATGCGATGTAATTGCATCTGAACACTGATAAGTGAACCATGCCTGAATGCTGATGCGATGTAATTGCATCTGAACACTGATAAGTGAACCATGCCTATGAATGCTGATGCGATGTTGCCATGCCTATCGAACACTGATAAGTGAACCATGCCTATGAATGCTGATGCGATGTAATTGCATCTGAACATTGATAAGTGAACCATGCCTATGAATGCTGATGCGATGTAATTGCATCTGAACACTGATAAGTGAACCATGCCTATGAATGCTGATGCGATGTAATTGCATCTGAACACTGATAAAACCATGCATCTATGAATGCTGATGCGATGTAATTGCATCTAAACATCTGATAAAGTGAACCATGCCTATGAATGCTGATGCGATGAACATCAACACTGTGAACCATGCCTATGAATGCTGATGCGATGTAATTGCATCTGAACATTGATAAGTGAACCATGCCTATGAATGCTGATGCGATGTAATTGCATCTGAACATTGATAAGTGAACCATGCCTATGAATGCTGATGCGATGTAATTGCATCTGAACATTGATAAGTGAACCATGCCTATGAATGCTGATGCGATGTAATTGCATCTGAACATTGATAAGTGAACCATGCCTATGAATGCTGATGCGATGTAATTGCATCTGAACACTGATAAAAGTGAACCATGCCTATGAATGCTGATGCGATGTAATTGCATCTGAACATTGATAAGTGAACCATGCCTATTGAAATGATGCGATGTAATTGCATCTGAACATTGATAAGTGAACCATGCCTATGAATGCTGATGCGATGTAATTGCATCTGAACATTGATAAATGAACCATGCCTATGAATGCTGATGCGATGTAATTGCATCTGAACATAAGTGAACCATACCTATGAATGCTGATGCGATGTAATTGCATCTGATTTAAGTGAACCATGCCTATGAATGCTGATGTAATCTGTAATTGCATCTGAACACTGATAAGTGAACCATGCCTATGAATGCTGATGCGATGTAATTGCATCTGAACACTGATAAGTGAACCATGCCTATGAATGCTGATGCGATGTAATTGCATCTGAACACTGATAAGTGAACCATGCCTATGAATGCTGATGCGATGTAATTGCATCTGAACACTGATAAGTGAACCATGCCTATGAATGCTGATGCGATGTAATCTGAACACTGATAAGTGAACCATGCCTATGAATGCTGATGCGATGTAATTGCATCTGAACACTGATAAGTGAACCATGCCTATGAATGCTGATGCGATGTAATTGCATCTGAACATGATAAATGAACCATGCCTATGAATACTTATGCGATGTAATTGCATCTGAACATTGAACCATGCCTATGAATGCTGATGCGATGTAATTGCATCTGAACATTTAAGTGAACCATGCCTATGAATGCTGATGCGATGTAATCTGAACACTGATAAGTGAACCATGCCTGCGAATGCTGATGCGACAAATGAATCTGAACACTGATAAGTGAACCATTTAAATGCTGATGCGATGTTTAAATCTGAACATGATAAATAACCATGCCTATGAATGCTGATGAAGTAACTTGTGCATCTGAACACATAAGTGAACCATGCCTATGAATGCTGATGCGATCATGTCAAGTGAACCATTGAATGCTTTATGCGATGTAATTGCATCTGAACATTGATAAGTGAACCATGAATGAATGAAATGCGATGAATTGCATCTTTACATTGATAAAACCATGCCTATGAATGCTGATGCGAAAATGCATCTGAACAATGAATGAACCATGCCTATAAGATGCTGATGCGATAATTGCATCTGAACATTGATAAGTGAACCATGCCTATGAATGCTGATGCGATGTAATTGCATCTGAACATTGATAAGTGAACCATGCCTATGAATGCTGATGCGATAAAGCATCTGAACAATAAGTGAACCATGCCTATGAATGCTGATGCGATATTTCTGAACATTATAAATGAACCATGCCTATGAATGCTGATGCGATGTTTTGCATCTGAACATTGATAAGTGAACCATGCCTATGAATGCTGATGCGATGTAATTGCATCTGAACAAATAACAACCATGCCTATGAATGCTGATGCGATGTAATTAAATTTCATACATAAATGAACCATCCTATGAATGCTGATGCGATGTTATTGCATCTGAACAAGAAAGTTGAAACAAATGGATGAATGCTGATGCGATGTTCATCTAAATTACTGATTTGCCTGAACCATTCCTAAATGCTGATGCGATGTGAACATTGAACATTGAAATACTGAATAAATGATGTTGCAATAAATGCTCTGATTACTTTTGAACGATAAAGTGAACCATGCCTTAAGCATGCGATGTCGAGTCTGGTCAGTAACACTTAATGAAAAGGGGTACTGAAAATATGAATAGTTATAATTGAACACCAATCAAATTTCAGCATTAAATGTACTGTGTAATATGTTGTTAAAAAACTAAACCAAGCCAATTGGTAACAAAACTGGCTGAGTTTTGCCACTGGATTACTTATGACCTGAACAGAGTTTACTAAATGAACTTTTTGAACATCCCATAAAATATTTTTAATTGACATTTAAAATTTTTTGGAACAATTTTTTTAATGTTTTTGAAAAACCATTTTTGCAGCTTGATTTATATTATATTATGATATTGATTTATATTATATTTATGTTTTATATTACTTGATTTACAGAAGGAAAGACCAGGAATAATTGCGGTCATTTATGTGATCAAACCCAAAAGTATGGAAAAATCTCGACAACTGAAGAAACAGCTTGGGCTGAAGGCTAAGAAACCATCTTTAGGTGATGCATTGTTTAAAGTAAGTTAGCTTTTTTCCATCTTTTTGACATCCAATGGAGGCTGAGTAAAGAGGGACTTAAATTTAATTATTTTACAAATAATGTAATATGATTTTACTCGGGCAATAATTCCAGATCATGTCAAATATTTGTCCTTTTGAGTAAAGAAGAATGAAGAAATCAAGAATAACTTGGGAAAAGGTATAAATCCTTTCCTAAATGAATAAATTCAAAGGATATCATTGTCTAAGATTGCAGTTATCCCAAGGCCCCTACTGACTAAATCCTCCTAGAAGTATGGTCAAACTGGTTCTGAATTACTGAGAAGCTGTGTCGAGTCTGGTCATACTTAGATTCTCTTAGGAGTCCAAAAATGGGTACTTGAGGCCTGGATCTAGCAACTTCATCCCATAAAACCTTCCTAGCTATGAAAAACCACATTACTGACTCAGGGAGTCTCCTCACAGAACTTGAGACTTATGGCTGTGGCCTTAGGGAGTCATGGGACTTGATCCTCAGGGAGAGTCTACAAGACTTGAGAGCTGCAGCCATATGGGAACAAGACTTGGCTTCTTCTCAAGGAGTCCATGGGACTTGAGAGCTGTAGTCCCATACTCCTTAGGGAATCCATGGGACTTGAGAGCTGTGGCCCTGTATTCCTCAGTGGAGTCAACAGGTTAATAAAGGGGAATTATTGAAAAAACTTTCAGAAAAGGACTTGTTGTGATATCATGTAATTAGATAATTAATAAGCTCCACCTAATACTAGGAATCACTTTTTATTATTTCTCATTGAAAAAAAACCTGAGAAATTGAACCTGTATGCATCTATAAAGTGATCTCAACTTTTACAAAAATTCTCATGAAAAAGCATGAAAATAATTTAGGAAAAGAACAATAAATAATAATTCTCAGAAAAACAATGATTTTGATATTTTAAAAAAATTTATTCAATGATTTTTTCATACTTATAAATTGGTCTTCTGTACTCTCCAAAGTTCATTTTAAGCATCAGTATATCTATGATACAATAACATCTTAACAAGATGGAATGAAGTAATAGAATATCACAAAAACATGAAATTCAGAAATAAGTTAAACATGAAAACATTTTCTATACAAAACATGAGTATATAAGCATAAGTTTTGTGATGTATGGTGGCTGTTAATAATTAAGTATAACTCAAGACTTTAATGTTAAAATAAAACAGTATCTAATTACAACTGCAAATAAATACTTAAGAACAAAGAAGTAAAAATCAACCAAAGCTTATTAACAATTTCAGTGAATACCTTGTTAGTAATGTGTCTTAGCTTAACGTCCAGTAAATCCTAAATCAAAACCCAAATCATTGATGCCCAATAATTCACACTAATTCAACTGGATAGTTCCACTCAATAATGATTCAATAATCACTGCAGTCAGTAGCCTGATGCTACTATTTATACACCTGGCGGAAAACATATTCATAAGTCTATAGTGTTATGCTCGAACCTCGTTGTTGGTAGTTACTTATTTTTTTCCTATATGACAATAAGTTATACTAAAAAGGCAGTATATATATATATATATATATATATATATATATATATATATATATATAAATAAAGAATTAATATATTTGAATTTCTTTTTATTTTTGTTTATATATTTTATTTTCATCGGGACTCACTATGTTATTGATAACTGCCTACTACTGAAGTTGTCCTTTTCCCCAATTTATAGTAGTACACATGCAATATGACACAATAATGTCACCCCTACACCTAACCCCATCAATATTTATTTCTATCCATTTCTGAGCTATACTGTTCTGTATATATATATATATATATATATATATATATATATATATATATATATGTATGTATGTGTGTGTGTATGTAAAGTCATAAATTGACCCACACTGAAAAATTAAAGCACATGTAAAAAGCAAGCAATATGTGAAGGGACAAACAGAAACTTGCTTGTAATGTCCTCAAGAGGGGAAATAATACAGCCCTGTGGTATCTCTTCTATTTCTTTTTAGAATGCATTTGACATGTATGCTTGTTGATGAAAAGCTATAGGCAAGTTTGAAAGTTAAGATTTATTAAGTTTAGGTCTGGTATGTACTGATATTTTAAAGGGACATTGAGAGTCACGTGACAGCCTGTTGGAGTTAATAGTCCTTTCCATTTTCTTTTTGGACAAGTTGAATTTTTTTCTCCACCTCATCCTTCCACAAACTCATTGACCGAAGCAAGTATTGCTTCCAGAGCAATGAGTGTGACAGTTGCAAGACCTTTTACTTGGAATTACCTTAGCTACAAAGGATTTTGTAACAAGTCAACAGGTATATAATGTTTAGTTATTAATGCATGTTTCATTAAATAATATAGACAAGTTTTGTCTATTTTAAGTAAGTTCCTTTCATATTGTCTGATAAGCTTAATAACATTATCATTGAAAGACGAAAGGAAATCACCATATTGATACATCTTTTAATCCAATCTAAGCTTTCGGCTTACATAAGCCTTTATCAAAGATGACAATTACTTTTCAATATATCAACCAATACATGAACAAAACAATAATGATAGTCTGTTTTTGTTCCATGAAAAATTTCTAAACAACGACTAACTCGTGTATATGAGACACGGAAGCAAAAATCGCGTTGCAGCTTGTGACGTCACACATGACCATGCGAGAGTGAAAACAAGAAGTATTAAGTATGGGAAGCTGTTGGTATAAACCAATGGCTTCTGTTATCCATTATAGGCATTTAAGAATATTTGTGGAGATTTCATAGTTTATTTTGTTCAGGTTAGGTTTCAACTGTTTTATGTATATGGCTTCAAGAATTTTTAGTTTTTGTTTATTGTTTTCATCATCAAATTGGTCATTACCGTAAAATTCTTTTTAAAAGTTGCAGATTATTTAACTTTCTCTTCAGTATATTCTTCTTTATGTGCCATGTCTCTTCAGGATCATGGCTCTCCATAACTTCCTTTTCCTTGCAGGTTTTAATAATTTTTGTCTTTCTGTTGTTTCTCCCATACCCTGTCCTGTCATCCATTTACTCAAACTTACTAAGTTGGTTATACGTTGTATTCCTCTATGTCTCTTGCCTTCAATCTGTCCTGTGTGTATCAGAGTGCATGATAAAAGACTGTTTTCCATCCTACACCTATTTCACCACCACCACTACCACCACAAACATCATCATCACCACCACCACCATCATCGACATCATCACCACCGTCACTTCCACCACCACCATCATCATCACCACCACCACCACCATCGACATCATCATCACCATCATCATCACCACCACCACCATAATTGACATCATCATCACCACCATCACTGCCACTACCACCATCATCATCACCACCACCATTATCATCATCACCATAACCACACCCACCACCATTATCATCATCACCATAACCACACCCACCACCACCACCATCATAATCATCACCACCACCATCATTGACATCATCATCACCAGCATCACTACCACCATCATCATCATCATCATCATCATCATCATCATCACTACCACCACCACCATTAGCATTATTGTACTACTCTCTCTTGTAACCTTTTCCTCTTTATTACTACCTCCTCTCAACTCCCTCTTTGCCACACTTTTCAACCTGATACATATGAACGAAATCTTTTTCTTCCCTTTGCGGTGTCCTGTGTATGTTAAATACCTCAAGATACACAGTATTTATTTTTAAAATAGATTTTTCTATTAACATTTTCAGATATATAAATAAATCTTAGGTTTTAATTTAACCTTTAAATTAAATCACATCATTCCCGAATATTTTTGCTACTTAGTGTGAACAGTTTTAAAGAAAGGAGGAGTATTTTTATCAAAAATATCAATCTTATTTTGTAGGTTGCATGGCTGAAGAATATCCAAGAGGTTTATAATCACATTGACCCTTCCCAGTTGACTGAAGACTATGGAGGATTTTTGTCTTATAATCATCAAGCTTGGTTCCATTTCCAAATGGTAATAAAGTAACTTGTTTTTTAATCATTTCACCCCAAGCAAGGCAATAAAGCCACTAGGACACAAGGGGTTACTGAGTGTGAGAGAATATGAGAAAAACTACTATTAAGGAGAGAGACAATAAAAGAACAAGAATTAAGAAGATCATATTTAACGACTGGCATTACATTTAAATTTTTGAAGATGAATGTTGACTGGGAAGCAAGAAGCTGGAAGAGAAGTGTGAGAGAAGAAACTGTTAGCATAGAACTTATGGTTACATCTTTAGCCATTTCAACTGTAAAATGATGAGACTTTGCCACCAATCTAGTACTGCACTTAAATTCATAAAGTCTAGGTACCATGGTGGAAAGTTCATCAGAACAATTACCATGAAAGTATTTATAGAAAAGTCATAGGGAAGCTATGTTAGGGCAGTGGAAAAGTGACTGAAGCTGAGATGCCAGGTCAGGACCAACAACATTGCAGATTCTTCTTTGGATTTATCAAGAATCTCAAAATATATAGCAGGAGCAGCAGATCAAATTTGGCAGCAATATTCAAAGCAAGGATAAATGGTAGACTTTTAAGTATATAAGATAAATTTGAAATTATCTAAAGTAATTTTGTATTATTTTATGCAATTTGTACCAAGTTCTGGTCAGCAAAACTAACACTTAATGACTAAAATCAATGATCCCTTTTTTTGTAAAAATTACAGCTATATTGAATTTAAATTCAAAGGCAACAACATTTCAGCACTATTGCTAAAAGGTTTAGTAATGTAGGAATGTTTATGATTATGTTAACACATCCCAATAATAAAATAGGATATGAAGAGAAACTTAAAACTCACGTCCAACTCACCAACAGTCACATTGATGCAATTGTAATTCTGTAATTTCATACTCTTTTCAAATGGCACTTTGTTATAAATGCCTATATGAGAAATAATCTAGCCTTTCTTGCATATATGTTTTAGCCGAAGCATTTAGCACTAATTTATTGGTTGTGTTAGTAGTCTCAAACAAACAATAATTTTTGAAAAGTATATTTGACAATATAATGCCATATTCTCTTTTCATGTTGAAATGATACATTTCAGAAACTAACAAAGATATTTGTTAAAGAATTTCTGCAAGCCTTTAACTTGACATCATAAAATATGAAAATGCCAAAAGCCTGCAATAAAAAAAAAAAAAACAGATAAAAGAAGAAAATGTTTAATTTCAGAATCTCAACATAGAGTAGGTATGGAAGATAAAAAGATGGTGATAAAAAGATGACTGATCATGGTAGCATGGGGGACCTAATTTGTTAGGGTATCATACATGAAAGATCAGCTCCCAAAGTATGCAACAGAAGTTTGTTTATATATGAAGCTACTTATATTTTAATTGTGAATGCTTGCAACTTAAAACCTGGAGAAAGTTACAGTGTAAAAGCAAGAAAAATAGATGAAAGACAAAATATTAATATATTTGGAATTGTGAAAACTTTTTCATCTCCAAAACCAAAAAGAAGGCTTCAACAATTGGTTTCTACTTTATGGTTTATCAACCCTTTGTAGGTTATTGATGTAATGGAATAACCAGTCACCCCCATGAATGATCACACTATAGGTAGTAAGTACCTATAAAGTCAACTGTCTACAAGAGAGAGGACAGAGAAGAGTGAGAGAGAGAGAGAGAGAGACAATGCAAGCACATCCAACCTTCTAATTAGTGACACTCCCTACTAGATTGACCTGTGGGTATAACTGTACCCCATTTCATATTGTACTGGTTGTGTACAATAAACTTTTCTTCTATTATCCACCTGGTGTTAAGTATTTATTCCCTTAGCACGGAATATAACTTTAATTAAAGCCAAAACACATTTTGGATTGCAAGAATAATTATTTTTTTCTTTCTTGTGCAAATGAATATTGCTGTAACAATTGTTTTTGAGATATTAATGATTTTTCCAGATACAAGTCCTACTATTTAACCCATGGCTGGGGGAAAAGAAACGGATTCATACCTTTCACAAAGGTAGTTGGGAATAAGTGAATGCAATGAGTTCAACTTGAATTTGAATTTGGTACTATGATTTCTGAGTCACTATTCAGTACACAACCTGCACATCTCACCATAAGAGAAGGAAACAATAACTTTTAATGGTATATCAACTGCTATAAAATGATCACAAATTATAAAAGTGGATCACCTGTTTCTATGATTCAGAGAAATTATATTTCAAAAGAAATTTTAAAAATCTTCAATGCCGATATTATTTTGATCAGTAATGGCACCTGGAACACATTCTTAAAATGCCCTGTTAATTTTTTTATATTTTCTGTTGATTCTAGTGGAGAATGACTGCAAAACACTTGCCCATCTTTAATTCATAGGCAGAAGCAGACAAAAAAATGTATGCTGGGATTCTTTCCTAGCAAATAAAATAGGCTGGTTCTCGGTTTCATCTGACTCAGTCCTGGTCTTTCTTGTCTTGAATTCAGGACACTATGTTGCCTTAACTGAACTTGCTCTTGTCTGTCAACCCCAGTTCTTAATTTGTGAACTTTTTGCTATATTATTGTTGCTTCACTTTATTACTGTTAATTTACCTTGCATATATTGTTTGTTTGCTTTATATTATTTTTGCACTGTTCGTTTCTTTTCTTTTTCTTTTTATTGCTTATTGCAAACTTTGTCAATTTTTTTTATTGGACTGTTCTGTCACTTATTTTACATTTGACTATGGCTACTCACTCTAGATTTTATGTAATTAAGTGTTGGTCTGTAAGAAACATAATATGCAGTATTGAAGGTTTTCATGACGTCTTTTATGAAATAAACTTTCACCAATGCAAAATGTTGATCTACAAGAATGGTTTCAGACGGAACAAAATATCCAGTGATTTATACAGTGAAATTTTGAAATCATTGTAATCTTTGGTTTCTATACCCTTGACAATGTCTAAAAAGAATCAAGGAATGAATGATGTTAAATTGAGTTAGCATCAACACATAATTTAACCACTGACACATGTAGAGCAACTTCATCTGGTAAAGTTGAAAGGAGCAAAATAAAACCTGGTTCATAACTTTTATTTAAATCATTCTTTGTTCAAGTGTGTTTTGGCATATTCATTCTAAGGCCTTCTTCATGTAGCAACAACTATTTATAGCATACATGTTTCTGAAAATAGAATAATCTATATTATAATTATTGTTGTTTAGATATGAAGGTAGTGTAATGGTTAACGACTTGGAATAGAAATCAGCGAGCTGTGTTCAAATTCCTATACTGACTCTTACATTCAATTTCAAACAAATCCTCTTGGGATCCATGTCTCTTGAATCCATGTCTCTTGAATCCATGTCTTCTCTCCCACTTATGGGATAAATAGCAAGTTAAACTGAGCTCTCTAGCTGTAGTTGCCAACCAGTTTAATGGAAAGAAAACTTTAAATTCAAATCTTTATGTTAGATGGTGTCTCTGGAAAAACACTGACCCACCTGAATCTGTAAAAAGATGGTTAGACATATGGGGTAGATATTATGTTTGCAAAACAAAAATATGTTAGATTTCAGCAACTATGGATAATGCTTGTGGAGAGTAATTATCCAGAATGCTGTTGATACCAACAGGTATTGGGCCTAAGGAACAGGTGTTGGGCCCAAGGAGCAGGTATTGGGACCCAGGAACAGGTGTTGGGCTCATGGAAATTAATGAATAATTAATGAACATTGCTGCTTATGCTTAAATCTTTTGATTGTTACATATTTTTTTTGGTGTTCAGCTTTACAAGAAAAAGAGATCCTCACTTTCCATACAAGTAGTAAATGGGAAGAAGGTCATAGAATGGATAGGTAAAAACGTTTTGGGGAAAAAAATGGAACAAAAAGAATGAGTTCATTTGTTTAAAAAAGTATTTGAATCATCAGGTTAGGCTTAAGGCTCCAAGTTCTCCACTCAAAATTGTCCCACAGAACAATAGCATGATGAATTAAAGTGTTTATTCATGAATTTAATGACATAGTAACTGTGAGTTCAGGCAGTGTGTACATAGACTCAGTGGTAACCGAGCAAGCAATAACTGAATAGTATTAAATAAGAACTAGACAAGATATTCTTAGTCCATGGAATGAGAACAATCTAACCCCATAGATTAAATAAATGGTTCAGTTTGAAATTCCTTGAAGGTTACTTGAATTGACAAGTACCTGATGAAGGCCGGTGGGCACAATGGCCAAAACATTGTGATAACAACAACAAAGGTGAGAACAATAATTCACATGTCAATGTGTATATTCCAGTTAATTTGATACATTTTTAATTCTTTCATTAGCATGACTCTGAAATTTAGTGATTTCAAAAGTAACAATGCTGTATATTTATCATTATTATTATTATTATTCATTAAAAGCAATTTGCAGGTAGAAAACACAAGTTAAGTATCCGCCCCAGCCTCTCACCGATTTTTTCAACTCTGTTTATGCATTATTTTGACCTTTTTCTACTCTAAGCCTCACTAATTAAAAAAAAAAATTGCGACATGAATCCCTCTCTGTTCGTAAGCTTTCCAGATTAGTGAGGTTTGGCCTGTATGGAAATAATACTACATTTTACCACTTTTGTACTTCCAATGAAAATCAAAAATAAAATCATACATAAAAATCAAAATTCCTTTATATGTCTACAGGATATTGGTAATTTAGTAAGGAGAGCTCATGACATGGAGGGAAAAATTCCTTCCTCCAGGGATCAAATTTTTCTGTTGCAAGAATATGATGTCATGGATCTAACTTTGAAAGAATTGGAGCATCTTTTGCAGCAGTTGGAAGGAAAATACCATGGAATTATGCAGTAAGTTTTTATTATACCCTTGAGTCTTTATTAAATTATATTATTATACCCACAAGTTTTTAGTAAATTATATTAATATATCCTTGAGATCTTACTAGATTATATTAATATACTATTGAGTCATTATTAAATTAAGTCATTATTATATGCCTGAGACTTTATTTAATTATAATAATATAGCCTTAAGTTTTATTTAATTACATTATTATATCCTTGGTTTTTATTAAAAGCATTTATGTGAAAGTTAATGCAACAGACTTTGTTGGATTGATAATGATTATGTTATCTGCATGTTAATAGATGAATTTTGACCTGAAATTCACTGCTGAATTAGGAGCATTGAAAATGAATAAGTTATACTGATTATGCCAACTTGTAAACTAAAGGCTTTCTTATGATTAGGCTACACACTTATTGATGTAACTATGTAGTTTTGTAGCTTTCAAAACAGATTTGTTTTGTGATTCAAATGGTGTCACTCTAGGAAATATATATGATCTGCCATGTTTATTCATTATTATAAAAACAAATTTAGATTAATTTGAATGCCAAAGGCTTAAAAATTCGACAATAATGACCTGGAATATTTTTTCTTTGATAATTTTAATTTATTTATTGTCTTTTTTATCAGGAATCTTAACCTTGAAGCAACCATTGATGAGTGTCGATATGCAATCAACAGACTTGAGCAACCAGAAAATGACCCTGTCCTTGCTCAGATCTCCTCCATTCTCTTGTTCACAACCAAAGTCGATCTTTGTCAGCTTTACAATTATTTTCTCAGCACCAAAAAAGAACTCGCTCAAATATGGCAAGAGGTGAACTATAATATTGAAAAATTACGTCAGTATCTGATATGTAAGGAGAAAACCAACCAGGTCAGTATTTTAAAACTATTATTTGACAATCTTGATCAGTTCTACTCAAACAGAAATATAGATCTGTTCAGAAAAAGATCTGTTACAGGAGCTACAAGATTGACAGATAGGAAAGAGCTTTGTTGAAGTGTGATGTCTAGGGTACTATAACTCATGCTAACAGAAAATGATGAGAAGTAACACATGAGAATGGAAATGAGATATTGTTAAAGTTAAAGAGAGGATTTATTTAAACTTTTGTTTCAAGCGATAGACAAAAATCTCTACAGGGATTCTACTACATACAGAGGAGTTGGTATTGCTTTGTAGCTGTATATAAAGATCATATGAGCATAATGTATAATGTTTACATGTATGTAAGCATTATTGTATAGATGTATGGCAGATAATGCCAAAACAATTAATTTATTGAGAATTGGAAATGGAAAAAAGACTACTGCAGAAGCTGAAACTTTGTTACAAAGAGTCGCTATACAAGTGCAATATTGGTCTGGATAACTGGGAGACTCTAGCTGAAGACCAGGTTTCTTGGAGAGCTGGTATTGCTGATGGCATCAAGATCTTCCATGAGGCATAACAAAAATATGCAGAAGTGAAGAGAGGGGTTTGGAAGAGACCCCTGAATTGCCATGAGGTGTCAACTTGGCCATGTGTCCAATGCAATCAGATATGACTGACCAGGGCAGGTCTGCTCAATCACCAGAAATCACACCAAAACCAACATTCTATTGCATATGGCAATTTTGCAATGGCATGCTTTGAATGCCTGACCTGCATTAGGGTGTGCAAGTCCAGGTTGAGCCTGACAAGGCATATGAAAAGACACATTAGACGTGATGATGATCAAAGTCAACTTCCATCACCAGGAGATGATTTGATATGCCACATATGTAAAAAGAAATGCAGATCAATGGCTGGCTTTATGAACCACTGTCGTTCACACAACCAATGAATGCAGTGTTATGGGGTGGAGGTTAACTGATCAGCTGGACATGTCAGTGATGGTCATACTTGCTTTGTGAGTTGACAGGCATTACTACTACTACTACTACTATAGAAGGAGTAAAGAATACTGAACTGCTATGTGACATCTGTCCTTCTTTATGGCAGCAAATGTTGGACGATTTCCTCAAAGATGAAGAAGAGATTTGAGGCGACAGAGATGAGGTTCTACAGAAGGATGCTAAGGATATCATGGACCAAGTGTGTGAGCAATGATGAGATCTTAGAGAGGTTGCAAACAAGGAGGAGGCTTATACTTAATATCAGGAAGAGGCAGCTGAAGTTTCTGGGACACATAATGAGGAAGGAGGGCCTGGAGAATCTGATACTCATGGGTCGAATAGAGGGAAAGAGAGACAAAGGAAAATAGTGTGTGACATACCTGGCAGGCTAAGCAAGTGGATGACAGAATGTAGTCTGGAGGAAGAAGCAGAAGGAAGGAACTTGTTGAGAACTGCAAGGGATAGAGGGAGGTGGAGAGCCATGATCGCCTATGTCCTGAAACGACATGTCATATAAAAAGAAAAAAAAAGGTTTCATCATGTAGCACTATTGGCCGCTGCTGTTAACATAAGAATCCTAGCATCTCTATAGCGGTCTTTAGTTATCAAGATTGGGTTTTAGTGAGCAACTTACCAAAATTGTCAAGAGACAGACAAATGACTGCATTAGCTTCAATAAAGCTTCTGTTTCAGAGTCAAATTGATGGAAGTTTATAAAGTGCTGGATTGGCTCAAAAACCAATCTGTTAATTAGTTGCAAGGATCTTTTCTGATTGGTTAGAAAATATTTTTATGACTTTTTCTGTTTTCTTTTTTCTTTTGGAAGTGGATGCACAGAGCTTAACTAAAATGAAACCAGTTTGTCATATTTGAATGATGGCTGACAATGTGAGTACTTCCATTTATTTTTTTTAAAGAATGGGAGTTCTAACAGGTTGTGACAAATCTAACCATTAACAAAAAATAGAAATGGTGCCTTAGTCCTTTTCAAAGTACACCACTTGGAACCTTAAATACCTATCTCAGTATCTCTTCTACTTTTCTAAACAATCTGCAAAGTCCTCTTTCAGGATCATCAGCAGTTGTTTCTTTATATTCATTTTAATCTTATTCGTAGCTTGTAATAGCTCTTTTTTAATGGAGATTTTATCAAAATGAAACCTCTGTCCAATTTTATTGTGTTTATTACAAATGAATATCCTAATGCATATAGAAATATTTAACCATCAATCTAACCTCCAATGCTTGCTAGAATCTCATTTCATCTATCGATAAGTTTATAGATACCATGTTTATAAAATTCTTTTGGTTTTGATATAAAATACAAATACCAACTCATATTCAACCTCTTCTCCTGATGTCAGCATCAAGCCATCCAAATGTTTCAGTAAACCCCTAAACAAATGATAATCAGAAGGAGAAAGGTTGGGTGAATATAGAGAATGAAGCAATTTTTTTTCAACAGAGTTCCTCAAAGAGATTCTTTAGTCAGTCATGCAGTATAAGAATGGATAGAGGATTATTCCCTTTCTGTTGACTAAAAATGAATGTTTTCTGTCTAAAGTTGCTTTCAAATGAAAATGTTGCTGGCAGTAGATATTGGTGTTGATTGATTATTGTCTAGCAGTTGATAATGGATGATTCTTTGAATATCCCATTATACACTCAACATGGTCTTCTTTTGATGAAGTTCTCTTCTTAGTTGCTGAGCAGGTCTATTTCTTCAACTAATTCACTGATGAAGGCTCTTAATATTGTGATAAATGATCTATTTCTCATCATTAGAATGCCTGTCAAAAAAAGGACATTTGAAGTTGTCATGTAAGCAAAAACTTACAAAAATCAACACATTGGCAATTCTCTGGAGATATGTTGTGTGGAATCCATTTTTCAACCCCTGAAACAATTCCAGTCCTTTTCAATTTGTTTAGGACTATCATATAACTAACATGAAATTTCTCTCTGAGTTCCCTAATTATAGTTGTAGGATTTGTTGTAACATCAGCTTACAAATCCCCTGAATCAAGTCCTTTTAGATGACTCTCCTCAAGATGTGGCACAAGGCTGAGTTTTAAAGTGGGGTATCTGAGCCCATAGGCTTGGGCAAAAATTCCCTATAGCCCACGCAAAAATGGAGTCAGTTTCCCGAGACGAGACTCTGCCCTTCAGCAGAGCCTCATCTGGGGGATACCCTCTGAGCCAGGTAATATTCTTATAATCTCAAAGCAAAAGATATAAATTACTTATAGTAGCTGTACTAAACAACATAAAGAGGTAATACTTCAATAAATCATTTTCACCTTAAAAATTAGAACTTTTGTTCCAACTTTATAAGTGATGGCCACAATTGCTTGAATTTTTTTTGTAATATGAAATCATTGTAATGTTTCCAAATGCAAAAAAAAAAAGAAAAACAGATTTTGAATATTTTTATAAACTTTAACAATTTGGGAATGCACATCAAACATTTGAATCAGCAAAAAATAAATTACATTGCAGGATTTGTTGTAACAGCAGCTTCCAAATCATCTGAATCAAGTCATTTTGGAGGACTTTCTCTTGGCTCATTGACTCCATAAGTGTGCTGGATGGATGTTGCTGCTGCACTTGTGTTAACTCCTTTATGGAACTCATTGAGTGCAACATTTTTAACATGTTCTTTAGTTAGAGTAAACATAGCTGCAAGTTCTGAACTTCTTATAATCTGAAAGCAAAAGATATAAATTACTCATAGTAGCTGTACTAAACAATATGAGCAAGCAATACTTTAATAAATCTTGTTTAACATTTTCACCTCAAAAATTGGACAGAACTTTCATTCCAATTTGATAGCTTAGGAAGAGGTCAGAAATCATAGAAATAGAAACAGCAGTGAATGATCTCAGCTTGGCTTTTTCTCTTGGCCGGCGATCACCAATCATTTTGATTCAGCAATGAAAGACACAGAAAATGTTAACTATTTTTATTAATGCTGTTGACATCTACATTATCTAACTATCTAGTGAGGGTCTCTCCCTCACTGGGAGCCGTTTAGGACACGAAAGAGAACACATCTATATTACTTGACAGGTAAGAAAAAACTTGCTGAAACATTTCTCCTATCTATTTTTTTCATGCTAGCTCAGCCAATCAAAATCGACTTCCCTATTTGGTTCCCATCTGACCCTGAATGTCAACCTTCAGAGTTGAAATACACTTCCTTTAAAAATAATAGTCTGTTAAACTATTATTTAACACGTTAAATGATCAAGTGCATTGTCAGGATGAGAGTCATGCAGTAAAAAACTAATTTACTGACATCTCACTGCTAATGAAGTAAACCCATTAGAAGGAATCTGTCTGGATATGCATATTAAGGTCCCTTCGGATTTATTGCTAAGTTACATCAAGGCCCCACAACCAGTTCTCAAGATTTTTAAAATGGTTGGATACATTCTGGACAGGCCTTGTATACATCTTTTTCTCTTTCATAGAAGATATTCTTAAATACTAAAACTTTTTATTTAGCAGCCACCAATTGTTTTGCATTTAACAAAGAACATTATTATCAAGAATTTTGTAACTAATCATATTATAAATTCTTTCTTTTGCATTTTTAAAGCTTTGTCTTGAGATTGCTGAACAGTATGAACTTCGAATAGCACAGCATCCGATTGTTGGGAAAACGCTCAATGAAGCTCAAATGTGTAGCATTCATTTTGAATCTTCTTTGTACAAACCAGCCAAGGTAAGTTTAATTTAGAATAAACAGTGAGAAAATAAGTATTCAATACACACAGCAAAAAAACAAAACAGTTCATTGTTTTATTTACCTACATGAATAGTAAGCCCTCCTTATCTTCATAATCACCATCCTCCTCCTCCTCCTCCTCATCATCATCATCATCATCATGTGCTCTTCCTCCTCATTATCATCATCATTATAATCATGTGCTCTTCCATATCATCATCACCACGATCCTCCTCCTCCTCATCATCATCATCATCATCAGCAGCATCATCACCATCCTTCCATCATCCCACATCCAGATTGAAGGTTCACCTTGTTCACAGACACTTTGTATTCTAGTTCTAATCTGGAAGCTCCATTTCGACAGTTTCTTTTCAAGAACCACTACTTCATGGAACAAACTCCCAAGAGGATGCTTCCCTAACCACTAAAATCTTAATCTCTACAAGTCTAGTCTAAAATGTTATCTATCCTACATAGCGTCATAATCTACAATTATTACATTCATAAAACAACCCCATTTAGTAATCCTCTAGCTTGATTGGCTTTTGGGCCTTGTATTGTGGGAAAAATAGTGTAAAAAAGTAAATAATGAACAAAATCTTTTCATGGCTTGTATTGAATACTTATTTTCAACACTGTAACTATTTATAAACATAATCTAGTTATTAATCATAAAGAGAGAAAATAATAACACATGTCAATTTCACAGATTAGCAGATTCTGTTAATTTTATTTTGGCAAAACAAAGGATTTGTGGACATATGCTTATATGGACTTTTGCCCTTGTTCGGAACATGAACAGGCCATCATTGACAACTGCGGAAAAATATTTTTCGGCAATCATCAATGATGGCCTGTCCATGTCCCGGTTTATCATGACATGAAAAAAATAACTCACCCACATCCACCCTCTGACTTTTCTATTAAGTGTAGATCTGACATTTAATTGGTCAATCAAGACATACTCAAGTCTATTTTTAATTCTGACCTTATGTTCACCACCCACTTTAATTTTCGTAAAAGAGGTAATATTTTGTTTTTAAATTTTCTTAAAAATTATTTAATCACCATTTACATACCATTGCCTGAAGAAGTACAATTATAGTATTGAAACATGAAAGCTTTTGGGTAGCGATTTCAAAATGTTTTTATTATAATCTCTTATAATGAAAATGATAATAATATATTGCTTTACTTTGCAGTGAGCACTTTTTTAAAAGTAAATGCTACGAACAGTGGAATTTTACTCTGTTCTTTCTCTCATTTGTATATATATATATATATATATATATATATATATATTATATATATATATATATATATATATATATATATATATATATATATATATATATATATATATATAAAAGGGAAGAGGTTATAGTAGTTCCAACGAGAGAAAAGTGTGTATATTAAAGAAGAGAGAAACTGCAAATGTTTTTGGTTGTAATGTGGATTTTTTTTAAAAAAAATATATTATGCTTTATTTATTTTTCATTATATTTATATATATATATATATATATATATATGTGCGTGTGCATGTGTGTTTGTGTTGGGCATTGATTCCTATAAGAAGCTCATTCACTCTTTGATAGGTTTTGTTTTTTCGTCCTGCAGAGTTACATGACATCCTCTTCAGCAAAAGAAAAACTAGTGGTAGATAGGCTTTAGATACAAAACCACCCCACCATACATTGATATGGTCAATGTGATGGAGTCCAAAAGTCAACAAAAAATATTTTACATATTAAAAATTTATTTTTGTATGCTTATCAATGTCACTCATGTTGACAAATATTCAGTCAATAGAACTATCAAGTTGAGACATTTTTTTTTTAATTAATGGCTTACTTAAGAAAAGAGTATTGAACTATTGTGTGATATCAATCCTCTCATATGGCACTGAATGCTGAACACTCTCCTCACAGATGAAGAAGAGACTTGAATCAACAGAAATGTGGTTCTACAGAAGGATACTGAGAATACCATGGACTGAACATGCAAGCAATGACAAAGTTTTAGAGAACTTGGAAACAAAAATGAGACTTATACTTAACATCAGAAAGAAATAGTTGAAATTTCTACAGCATATAATCAGAAAAGAGGGCTTGGAAAATGTGATATTCACAAGACAGATTGAATGCAAGAGAGAGACAGTGAAAAGAAATGCATAAGATACCTAGTAAGCTTGAATAAATGGATGACAGTACAAGGTTTAAGGGAGATAAGAAAAAGACAACATTTATCAAGAGCTACAAAGGACAAGAAACTGTGGAGAGCCATGATCACCAACGTCCTGAAGGGACATGGCACATAGAAGAAGAATGAGTTTGAGTAAATGGATGGCAGAACAAGGTTTAGGGGAGATAAGAAAAAGATAAAATTTATCAAGAGCTACAAAGGACAGGAAATTGTGAAGAGTCATGATCACTAATGTCCTGAAGGTACATGCTGCATAGAATTTATTTCTTAAGAAAGACTAGTTGTTTACTTTTATTTAATACAATATAATGGTTGTTTGGGCTCCATAAAAATATTTTAATATTAATACCTACTTTATTTTTTATTTATTTAATTTTATTTTGGCAGGAGTTGTTAACCAGAGCGACTGAAATCCTAGAGGAAATGCATCGTATTCAGTTACCAAAGATATCCAATGACAATTCCGATCCTGGCTTCTTGGCTGAATTTACCATCACGATTCAAATGTTTGCTGAAACACTTGACAACATCTACAAGCAGTACACAAATATCATTTATTTTTATTTGGTTTTTGAAAAAGTGAGTTTCTTTCTTACTCATTGTTTGAATAATGGAACACCATTTGCTTTTGCTATTAATCCAATGTTTCAATTGATCCAGGTGAATATTCAATAAGAAAAGAGACATGTCTCTTTTGTGTTATGAGATCATGGCAAGTGGGAAATAAAAGGTGGTAACTATCTCCATCTATTCAGTCTTATTAATATATGCCAGCTCAATTTCTCCTCTTTCCTGTTCATCTACATATGGTACCAGTAAGCAGATATATAGCATCTTTAGTTAAACTTACCATCACTATTCAAACATTTACCAGTAGTATGGAGTATGGCAATATGAGTCGTTTTTTTTTGTTTTTATGAGTTTCTTACTTAGACACTGTTTGAATTGATGAACTATTTTTTTTATTTTGTTTGTGCTGATGAATAAAGTTTAATAAAGTGGACAATCTATAAGGAAAGAGACATGTCTCTTTTTTGCAATGAGACATTAGCAGACAGAAAAGAAAATGACAACAAATATACTTGTTCAATTCACTATTAACATTATTCAGACTATTGTCCTCATCTTTGTCGCCATATTTATTACAACATTTCGGCCATTGTATGCTCTGGCCTTCTTCAGGTGGTTGGAATGTTGAACTAAACCCTTTATTTTGCTCACTGGATAGACTGTTCTAGTTCCACGTGCCATGTTTGATGGATGTCAGCTCTCCAAGTTCTCCACTGCCTTAACCAGGTATTGAACTCACATTCTATGAGTCCTGTCACTGAATCTAAAGCGATCTAACTAACAACTTTATCCACAATGCCATTGAGGACATTTGTGTATGAATTTCTGGGTATTATAAACATAATGTCTTCAGCAATCTTTTTTTACCAGTGCTCATATTGCAATTTTTGCTGTTATCAATTCATGTTTTTACCAGAGCTCATATTGCAACTTTTGCTATTATTATCACTTTTCTCTGGCACTCCTTATGATAAGGACAATAGTCCAAATAATGTAAATAGTGTACATAATACCTCATCTCAGAAATATAGACAGATATTGTTCAATTCACTCCTGTCAGTTTCAGGATACTAGAGAGAATTTACTAAGTTGGCTAGCCAATCTCAGCTGCTGAAAGGCTTATGGCTCCATCCTGTTGAAACACTAGTTCCCGTATGATTGCCATAGTTAAGCAACATTGAGCTTGGCTAGTACTTAGATGGGTCACTGCTTCGGAATACCAGGTGCTGTAAGTTTGGATGTGTGGGTGGTGTAATGGATAATGACTTGGAATTGGAGCTCAGAGAGCTGAGTTTCAATTCCCATTGGGTTCATTATATTCACTTACATGCAAATACCCTTGGAAAAGGTATGAATCCACTTCTTCTTCCCTAGCTATGGGTTAATTAGTAAGACACTAAACCATTATCATCTTGAAAAAAATTTCTTACAATCTAAAAATATTTTCTGGATTTGAATAACCTGCAAAGTGTTGATAAACCATAAAAATCAAATCAGTCAACAAAAAAAATTTGTTGCAGATATCTAGTCATGCACATTTGTATTTCTTCAACACCTCCAGAGCCGACCTGTGGTTTATACTGCAACTATTTGAGCAAACCTTAGTTACAGTTTCTGGGAGAGAGAGAATAATCTGGCATGATCAGTAGCTGAACAAGGCCAGTCTACTCGCACACAGAATTGTGATTTCCTGTTTGCACAACCATCAAACAATTTTCTCAACCTAATTTCACACACAAGGCTTGGGTTGACTCATGATAGGGTTTTTAGGCACTTCCCAGAGACATGCATACTGGGGTCATCTTCTCAGGTCAAGATTATGAAGGCGTCACGTCTTTGAAACTTTGGTGAGATTTGAACCCAGGTTTTATGGTTGGAATGCTAACACTCTAATCACTCGGCGACATGCTTATCATATTTTTAAGTAAGTTACTGAAAATATTTAGCATTTTGGTGGCTAGAGAGAAATTATTATTTTAAATGTTTTATGGCATTTTGTTGGTTACCAGCAATAAGCTTTGATCAACCAAAAAAATTGTCATGTACATGGATACAATATTCCCACTTTCCCATTTGCAGATTTTAACATGCATGTAAACATACTGTCAACATTAGGTTAAAATTTTTACCCATAATTACATTACTGATCCTCATGGTTTAAGTCAATTAAATGGTAATATTAGCTGTGTCCTTATATGGAAGCATTCAACATTCATTGATCAAGCAGCTTGTATTACTGTCAGATGAAATTTATAAAATCTTTCTATTAAAACAATTTTTCAAGAAAATAGGTTTCTCAAGTCCAGTAGCTTTTATCACTATTTCCAGTATTGATAGAGGTTTCCTTCCTAACCTTTTGCCATTCTGGGTATGACAATAAACTACATCTGCATCCTGGGTAAGACGATAAACTACATCCAACAGCAAGGCCTCTGATCAGGAGGTTTTAAGGAGCGTGGAACCACCTCTTAATTGTTGGTGTTCCCAGGTCCACCCTGACCTGGGGTGGTAGCACCTGTTATGATCCTAGCTATGGGAAAATAGTTAACATCCAAACTTTTCTAAAAATAGGTTTTAATACCAGAAATACTTTGTAATAAAAAAAATATTGCTAGCAATAATTTTTGAAGGAAAAATTATTATCAGCAATAATTTAAAAAAAACAAAAAAAAAACAGCAATACAAACTAAATTTCCTAAAAGAAGTTGGATTGTACTCAAAAATATGAATAATTGAAAAATGGTTCAAATATATATGTATACATACACACCCTTTTTTTTTTATCAAACTATCACTATGAATCTATTTCAAAATCTTGTTGGCATTAAATGACCCACTGAGGTTGATATGCCATAAAACAAAACAACCAACCAACCTAACCATTTGTTTGAAGTAGTGTGGAATATCAACATTGTGATTATGTTATTATTCTCAAGTTACATGTAATATCCATTTTAGTTGCTGCAGTTGCTGATAGTCCTCAAGTGATGCTGTTTCTGTTACAGTTCTTTGTTTGTGATTCTGTAGCATCAATCCACAAGGTTTGAAGAACTGTGTTCATTATCAAGACCCACTTACTCAAAGCTATTTTTAACCATATGATCTGAGAAAGCTGTTGTATACAGTTGGCAGTTTAGATATTTCTGAACAGGTTTGGTGTCATGCCTGACATTCATATGAAAGTCTCAATCTATTTAAGAACATAACTCAAGTTTTCAGGATAATGTTTTGGTTTTATAATAATTTGTAGTGTTGGGTGAAACTAGCTCTAGTGTGGCCTATTCAGTGTTCAATTTCTTTATCTCCTTACTAGATTTGTTACAGCTGATCCATATTGATCCTAGGTATTTGAAGTGTTTAGCATTTACTAAATCCATATCCTGAATTTTAAAAGCTAAATTGCAAAGTTAAATAATATCATTTGCAAGTTCACATATTTAATCAATAATATTCCCTGTCATTATTGAAGTAAAAACATTAAAAATCATTAACTTTTTCTGATTCAAATTATTTTGTTTGTTCCACTTTAACAAAAAATTAATGGATAAATCATTTTGTCTGGTCCACTTTAACATAAAATTAATGGATAAATCATTTTGTCTGGTCCACTTTAACATAAAATTAATGGATAAATATGTTTAAAGAATAAATAGGAACTTAGTTATTTACTTTATTCCATAATTCCTTATCTCTGTTGTTATTATGTTTTAGCCTATGTACTCTACTGCCTTCTTCAGGTATCTGTTGATCCAGGAAAAATTCAAAGAATTTCAAAGCAAACCCTTTATTTATTCTATGGGGATAGATTGTTCTTATCCCACTGTCCATGTCTAGTGATGTCTTGTTCTTATTTAATACTTCTCAGTTATTACTTACCCTGTTTCCACTGAGTATAAGTTTCTACTAAATGACCCAGGGATTGAACTCACAATTACTATGCCACCAAATATTGTTACATGGAACAATAGCCAAGTGGATTAAAGTGGAAGTTCATGAATTTTGTGAATTTTGATTTGTGACTACTATGGAAGTTGAAACATAAAGTCTGCATGTATTTTAGGTGTGGTGCGTTTTTACATATGATACACAAAGAAGAGGTCTACAAAAACTCAGGTTTCTACTAGGGACTGTTTATTCTTTTTATAGTGACTGTGGTGTAACAAAGTTCTAAATGTCTCTTCGGTATGTCCATTTTCTTTTTTGGATCAAAAGTGTGTTAGAGTATGTAAGGATAACAATGGTTAAAATGGTTGAGCTCAAGTCAGCTTTGTGCTGTGTTGGAACAACCAATTCACTTATTTCATGAGTAGAGCTACAAGGCTACATTGGAAAATGGAAAGAGTGTTCAGTCATCAGTGAAATGGGGAAACTAATGTTCCTAAGTGGGATATAATTACCATATGGTGCTACATCTTGAAACAAAATGGAGAAAGAGAATGAGATAGGAAATGTTTGCCTTTTTATAGACCATTAGATGATACAGGTGAGTATCACCTAATGGTGTTTGATATGGTGTAATCATATTTTCTGTCCCTTTACTCTTAACATCATGGGAAAATGTATTCCTTTTTCTATTTTTTTTTATTATTCATTATTATTATTTTAATTACTGATTTTATTTTATTTTCCCACATTACCAAGGCTCAAAGTGTAGTATCTGTTGTGTTTTCTCTTCCTTAAAGCAGTGGCAAAGAAATGGTTGAATCAGGATAATTTCAATTAATTTATATGTTAAATTTCATGAAAAATGACCTTATAGTTTCTAAGATTCAAGAATTACAGGCATCTCCTCTTTTCAATGAAGAAAAATGATATTTGAAGAAAAGTTTGTTTTTTGGTTTCTTTTTTAAGAACACAATCTGTTTGCTGGATTTCAAATTTTTTTTTTACTGAAAGGCCTTCAAAAGATTAAGATGAAGTGGCCTAGAAAATTGAAAAGAAATTTAAGCATTTTTAATCTTCTCATATATACTATTCTTATTTTTGGGGGCAGGAGTTTTTTTTTTAGGGAAGGCTTTTGCAAACTAATTCAAGCAAAAAGAGTAGGCAGGATTTGGAGCAAGCCAAATGAAAAGATAGTTTGTATTAGATTACACACTGGTGGTAGTATATGTCGTAGAGATAAAAAAAAGAGATAGAGTTGTTGTCATCCTCATGGATTGTGATGAAGAAGCCTAACTGGTGATATCAGCTTCTGAGATTTCCTACCTCCAACCTCAACTCCCTGAATCCTCAAAATTCCTATCTTACCAGAATAAAAATTTTTGAAATCCATACTTGAAATTTAGCCTATATTACAGAAATGGAAACTAATTCTTTGAGAAATCTTTGAAATTGTCTGAAAGTAATTAGAATTTTCACCAGAATCTCACAGCAAATATTGAATTGATAACAAATATATAAAATTAAAAAAAAATTTGATTCATTAAATCTTTTTCATTTAAATAGAAAAACAGATAAGTTTTTATAGAAATAAACATTATATAGAAATGATTCAATTTTTAAAATTTGTTTTATGCAAATTAATCTGATATATCTATATGTCAGTATATATTCTTTTAAAACTTTCAACAAACTAGCCAACTATCATTTCTATGAACAGAGAAAAGAAAGGTGCCATAGAAGTCTTACCTCTGAAGTTTCTGCATAAACAACATTTTCAGCAAGACATCTATTTTCTAAAGCCCCTTATGTCATTATGCTATATCCAGATGAATTTTCTACTCTGGACATAGTTACATAGAGCAGACCATGAGAGAAATATTTGAATACTTTAAAATAATGATAATTCCTCATCATTCAGATTATTGTCCTCATACGTTGTTATTAACCAAATAGCCGTCCAATGAACAGAGAAAAGTCAGTTGTTATAAAAGTTCTTTTGCCTCTCAAGAATTTCTATATAAACAACAATTACAGCAAGATATTTACTTTTCAAATTTCTTTTTGATTTTATGTTAAGTCCACTTGAATTTCATGCTCGGGACATAGCTCTATAGAGTGAACCATGAGGCAAAACATTTGAATAATTTTCTGTTGTTTGTATTAATAATAATAACAATAATAATAATAATAATAATAATAATAATAATAATAAAGTTTCCGATAGACTCATTGAAGTGATACCTGGTAACCCATGCGTTAAAGAAATACAAAAAATTGTATTCACAACTACTGTTCACACTTTGCAAAGTGAACTTTGAAATATCAGATGACAACAATGCTTATTATTTGAATGCTATAGATTTTCTAACATATAACTGAATTTTAACAAGGCAGATATAAATTCTTTCTAAACAAACAAATTTAAAAAAAGTCTTTAATGCTTATGTATGGCAATTTTTAAAAGTAGAATTAAAAATAAATAATACATATGACATATTTAAAATATGTTTTTAAAAATTGATATACAAATTAAATGCTACCATTGATGTTGTGAATGCCATTTTTTAGCAATATATATAAAAGCTCCATAGTAAATCCTTCAGATTAACTATACTGTCTGTACTGTTTTGTAAGTGAATGTGAGGAACTCAACTAGAATTTGAACTCGACTCACCAATTTCACAATCTGAGCCACTATCCATTAGTCCACTGTGTGTCAAAATATGCTTTTAAAAAATTGTTATTCAAATTAAGTATTATTGCTTATGTTGTAAACAGAATCTGTTAGTAATATATATAAAAGATTGATAGTAAATACTTCAGGTCAATAGTACTGACTGGGCTTTTTTGTTTTACTGACAGAATTTAGCCTTATGTGAATTTATAAAAGGTTATATATATATATATATATATATATATATATATATATATATATATATATATATATATATATATATATATATATATTTTTATATATATATATAATTTATATATATATATATATATATATATATATATATATATATATATATATATATATATATATATATATATATATATATATATATATATATATATATATATATAATATATATATAATTTTGTTCAGTAGATTTCTTATTTTTAATTTAGAAAATTATCATTTCATACCAAGCTAGGCAATAAATCCATTAAAATGCAAGGGGTTACTGAGTGTGAAAGAATCTGAGAAAAAGAAAAGCATTAAGGAGAGAGAAGAATAAAAACAGGAATTAAGAAGACAGAAGATAACAATTGATATTGCATTTACATTTTTGAAGCTCAAAGTTGATTGGAAAGTAAGAAGCCAGAAGGGAGTTCCACATGTGAGAAATGCAAGAAAAGAAACTGTCTGCATAGAACTCATGGTTACATTTAGCCATTTCAACTGTAAAATCATGAGACCTTGTTCCCAATCTAGTACTGCACTTAAATTCATAAAGTCAAGGTACCAACAAAAAAAGCTCATCAGAACAATTACTATAAAAATATTTATAGCAGAGGCAAAGAGAAGCTATGTTACAGTGGTGAGAAAGTGATTGAATCTAAGATGCCAGGTCAGGTACATTAGTGATTCTTCTGTTGGATTTAGTCATGAATCTCTGGACACATAACAGAAGCACCAGACTAGATGTAGCAGCAATATTTGATACATAGATGAATAATAAACTTATAAATGTGCAACATAGATTCTGTGAGACCAAGAAGTTACAGTGAGTTGCTCTCCTGGAGGTTAGCATCAGCCATACTGATAGAAGACAAAAAAGGTTCTTTAAGATGATTATTAGAGAGCAGTTTCATTTTAGAGACATTAAAATTAACAAGCCACTTGCCCCAGTTAACAACAGATCATAGATCATTTTTGAGATCAACTGCCAATTTGATTTTATCAAACCTATCAGACTTAATATTAAGACAAAAGCAAATAGTCATCATCTGCATAGATACCGAGTTGGGAACTGATTACATCTAGAAGGTTCTGCATGAATATAAGGAACAGAGAAAGTGTCAGAGAATAGAGCCTTGGAGGATAACTGCATTAATACAAATGATCTAGAGGAGTGGCCATTCAAGACAACTTCTATAACATGATTTGATAAGAAAGATTGAATCAAATCAAAGAAATGACCAGAAATACCATAACCCTTCACTTGTGAAGAAGACCTGTATACTAAACCCTGTCAATTTAAGGCAACAGCCTGAGCTTCACCATTCTTATTTAAAGCTTGATAGACTCTTTTTTCAACAATAATCATTAATACAACAGCAGTTGACCTAGAGAAGCAAAGGCTATATTGTTTATCTGAAAGAAGTACTTAACCAATTTTCTACCATTGCATAGTGAACTGACCTTCCTGGTAGTAGACTTAATAATTGATTCAATATAAACATTCCACTTCATTTCAGTGGAAAATGTGAGACCAAGACAACTTCCATTACATGGTTTGATAAGAAAAGATTGAATCAAATCAAATAAACAACAAGGAACATGATAACCCTTCAAGTTGTGAAGACCTGCAAACCAAACCCTGTCAAAAGCATTTGAAATATCTAAAGGAATCGCCTGAGTTTTGCCATTCTTATTTAAAGTCTGGCATAAACTTTCAGCAATAATTGCAAGGATGCTATCAAGTACACATGCATATCATACAGTAGAGACTCAGTTCTAAGTCAGACAAGGAGACAACTGATGGGAGTAGAATTGGAAGAGAATTTATGAGCAAAACATTTTGCTTTATTGGCAAATGATGATAGCACTTCAAATTGATTGAAGAAAGGAGGGATTGAGGAAATACTTTTACTTGGCACACTCTTACTGGACCACCAATAATCACAAGAATCAACCTTGTGAGAGGCTTATTACATGTGGACACAAAGAGGTATCTATTGTGATCAAAGCTATCCTGTTGGTATATCCAGAAAAAAGTGATTCCTGTGGGATAAAGCAGCTGAAGATGCAGGTGTGAACCAAAGAGAAGATTATCTTTATTATTATTATTTACTTGTCTTTCTGTTATATACACATTTACTTCCATGTCCTAACCAGAGACGTAAGGCCATAAATGACTTTATGACATCTTTCACTGACTATTTTTCATAAAAAGAAAAAAAAACAACCTATGATCACACACATTTTGCATACATTTACAAATTAAGCACAACTATTAAAGGACAAAACATTTTCACGGATTTTGATGTCATTCTGGGGTGTCATTTTTTTTTTCAAATTCGTAAATTTGTTTTGCTCATGCTAAGTCTCAAAAAAATGCTATATAAAATTTGCTATTTTTATCCATAATTTTGAATGTGTTGAAATTATTCAGCTTTTTAACGAGAAAAATCTCAAATTGATGTTAAAAATTGCTGCAAAACATTGTTGATTTTTTAAAGATGGAATGATATATTATGATATGTCTATAATTTGTATTTAGATACATTGTATTTATTTTCAATTTTTCTAGTTGAATTTTTCACCTATATTGCATATGATCCATTATTGTGCATAATTAGGTTACAATCAAATTTTTATCTTATATGAATAACATCTTATGAAAATTGAGATGTTGTAGAGGGCAGCGGAATATCATAGATTTGCATTGGCCTTGACTGAAGTATAATGCATGTGAGAACTTACTACATAACAGTAGAACAAGAAAAATGATAATATGATAGAGAATGCTTTATTTAAAAAAAAATAAAATAAAGGTAATCATGAAGATATGTTAGTTTAAAATTTTCAAATTGCTGAAAGGAAAACAGAAAATTAACATATTACTTAAATCAATCTAAGCATCATATGAGTTTTGGTCAAAGATAAAATTCTCTGTAATTCTATTTACCATTGTATTTCAGTGCCTGGTCTGGTACCAGAAAGTTCTTCATTTCTTACCCATTAGCCTAAATAAACTGTTGATCAGTGTCCAAGAAGCACCGTCCACTACCTCTTCTTCATCATCCACTTCATCATCAGGTTCTGTTGACAGACCCCAAGCTAAGGTTGAACCAATTCCTGAGGAGTGGCCTAAACTGGTGGGCATGATCCACAGTAGGTACCCAGGACCTAAGAAAGAACATTTGGCTATTCTAAATTCAACAGCCCCACCTAACATTGACTGTGATGCTAGAGGACATTCAGCTCTTTTGGCACACAGGTAAGTCAAATTATAACTTGAGTATATATATATATATATATATATATATATATATATATATATATATATATATATATATTTATATATAATAATTTAAATTACATTTGCTCTACTCTGTATTGAACATTCTTTTAAGAAAAGTATTTTTTGGATTATTGGAATTTATTCCATATATACCAATCCTATACTTGTGTGTATATATATATATATATATATATATATATATATATATATATATATATATATATATATAATAATGTATGTATGTAAAAGTTCTTAACATCATCCTTTTTGAAAATTAGAATTGAATAAATATTAAAAAACATTTTTAAATAAAAAATAAAATGCAAGAATACTTTTCCCACCTTTATATATATATATATATATATATATATATATATATATATATATATATATATATATATATATATATATATATATATATATATATATATATATATATATATATATATATATATATATATATATATATATATATATATATATATATATATATATATATATATATATATATATATATATATATATATATATACATACATATATATTTAAATTTTGAAAAAACAAACAAAAATCCATAAATGTAGTTAAAATGAAAAATTGTCGACGTCAGACGTTTCGGTTTTAATAAACCATTTTCAAGACAAAATTCATTAAAATACAAATTCAGTTCAATATGGAATGCGAAAACGATGGACATAAAACACAAGTTTTATCAAAAAAAGTAAACCAAAATGTATTTTAATGAATTTTGTCTTGAAAATGGTTTATTAAAACCGAAACGTCTGACGTCCAAATTTTTTCATTTTAACTACATTTATGGATTTTTGTTTGTTTTTCAAAATTTCTACATTCTGTCGGATTTTATCCATTTACACTTGCTTATACACACACACATATATATATATATATATATATGTGCAAGGTTTGTTGAAAATGACTGACAGGATGAATTTTATTTTACTTTTAACTGAATCTATGGTTTGTTTTGTGTATGTATCTACAGTTATAAGTATGTTTTATCTTTCAAACATGTCAGTACAGTGGGGCTGTGTTCATAGCTGATATTATAAAAAGTATAGTCAAAAGTGCTTGGAAAATATTTAACAATTTTTATATAATTTATGTCCTGAAAAGAAAGAAATTATACAAACACATGAGAAATTATAAAAAACTCAACCACAGCACCTTGTCAGTTGTTTTCAACAAGTCAAAAGTTATGTCGAGGGAGTTTACCCTTTTCAATTTTGTGTTGACTGTAGTTTTTAAATGTAGTTTTCTGAATTTTTTTAAATTTCATAGTCTATAAACAATTTAAATTAAAACAATATGTTTAAAAACCCAATCATAAGTTAAAAAAAACCTTTATGAAGTCATCAAAAAAACAAATTGTAGTTCAATACAATGTATTTATATACAAACAACCCTTTTAGAAAAATTCTTTTTAGCTATACAAATATGAATTTAACAGCATAACAAAAATGCAAATAACATTCTGTCATTGAAATAGACCAGATGGTATGTGTCGAACGCATGTCATCATTCGCTTGAAAATAGGCACCTCGACCCTACCTTAACTTAATCTCTTTCCGAAAGTAACTAATATGTTGATACAATAGTCGTCAGTGAAAATGTAAACAATTACGTCCCTTATTAAAATAGTAGTCAATATTATGAATGTATATGCTTATAAAGCTCTGTGAATTTCAAGATTAGTTATTCCAAAATTCACTTGAGGATGAAACAGAGCTGGGTACTTAAATCAATTTAATTTCTATAATTAAATTGAAGTTTTTAGCTTCTGTTTTTGAAACATGAGAACTCTTATGTAGTGATGGAATCACATTTTTTTAAAATAATTATAATTTAGGCTCTACTTGTTAACCTCTATTATTAACCTAACGGTTCTTTCCTATTTTTCTATATATATTGCACACACACACACACATATACATACAGTAGGGGGAAACAAATATTCATACACATTTTTAATTTATTGCATTTCTAACTAATGAATAAACATACATTTCATATAATTAACTGTACACAGATGCATAATAAGTAAATATGCATAGAAAACAAAAAAATTGATTTAATAGAAATAAATCCCATGTATCCATTTTAATGGTTGAAAAAATTATTCGTACAATGCAGATTCTAGATTTTAAAACTTTTAAATTGCTTTAATACTCTAGATTATTTGAGGAAATTAATGTGTCAAATTAAACAAAATCCAATGATTACTCGTCAAGAGTTGCGGGATGATTTGCTTTCATCAGGAATCTGTGTCACTTAAGTGGACAATAAGCAATGGAATTCATTGGAACAATTTAAAGTCATGATCCCCTTGGAAAACTACACTGCTATTGAAAAGACACAGAGATGCCAGATTGAAATTTGTTTAGGAACATAAGGATAAAGAAAAATCGTATTAGGAAAGAGTATTATAGACAGATTAAAACAAAATTGAGTTGTTTGGACATAATTCTAGAAATCATGTATGGGGGAAATATGGTGATGCTTTCAGACAAAAGAACACAGTTCCAACAGTGAAATTTGGCAGTGTTTTAGGGGTGTTTTTCTGCAAAAGGTACTGGCAACATAGCAGTAATAAATGGTAGAATGAATGCCGCAGCATATCAAAATATTTTGGAAGCAAATTTAATGATTTTGGTTGAAAATCTTGAACTTCCTCCTGATTGCATCTTCCAACAAAATAATGATCCTAAGTACACTGCAAAATCTATGTCTTGGTGAAAATAATGTAAATATCCTGAAATGACCAAGTTAGTCCCAAGATTTAAACTCAATCAAGAATCTTTGGCATTATTTGAAAATTCAAATCCAATTGAGAGCTCCAACAAACATCCCGGATCTGAAGACCATATCCAAAGAAGAATGGAAGAAAATACCAACTAAAATTTGAAAATCATTAATTGAGAACTACAAGAAGAGTTTGATTGCTGTAGAAGTGAATAATGGCTATTCTACAAAGTATTAAATGAAGATTATGCATTCTTTTTTGTATTGTATGAATACTTTTTTCACACATTAAAATGGATAAATGGGATTTATTTCTATTAAGTCAAATTTTGTTCTGTTTTCTATGCATATTTATTTATTATGCATCTGTGTATAGTTAATTATATGAAAAATATGTTTATTCATTAGTTGGAAATATAATAAATTAAAAATTTATATGTGTACAAATATTTGTTTCCCCCTACTGTATATATATATATATATATATATATATATATATATATATATATATATATATATATATATATATATATATATATATATATATAATGTGGGGAGAGAATTTAATATATAAATTTGTATGTATCAGAACAATATTAGACAAAGTGGAAAAGATCTATGTAACATGTTTCTTCCTCTCAAAGACTTCCTCAGACTGAAGCCATGTTCTTGTTGTTGGAAATACATTGAAACAAACATTTATGTTTATATCTCCTCCTCCTCCCACTATGCATATATGCACAGTTTGGTTTCCGTGAAGCACTTATCCTTCTTTGGTTTTCAACAGTTTTCAGTTTTTTTTTTTATACCTAACAATGAATAAACTAATGGCAGTAAATGGAATATTCAGGTTGTTTGAGATTTTCCTGTAACTTTTACCTTCTTTCCGAAGTTTAACAATCAGTTCTTTTTGCAAATTTGTCAACCTCTTGCCAGGATGATAACCTTCTTGCACGAATATCAATTACAGAATGTTCTGTTTGTATTTTTTAGGCTAAAAATAACCACTGATAACATGGAAACATTCTAGAATATTCCACTTGAATAATTTAGAGTATTAAAGCAATTTAAAAGTTTTAAAATCTGAAATTTGCATTGTACGAATATTTTTTCACACATTAAAATGGATAAATGGGATTTATTTGTATTAAATCAATATTTGTTTCTCTCCACTGCATATATATAAAAAACAGAAGATGTTTGAGTGTGTGTGTGTGTGTGTGTGTGTGTGTGTGTGTGTGTGTGTGTGTGTGTGTGTGTGTGTGTGTATGCTATTTATGAACATTCACATTCCTCAACTGATTTTGATGAAATTGTACACACATGTTGCAAATTTACTAAATTAGGTCAAGACTAACCTTTCAATCTCCAGGCCTCAGAAAAATTGATAAAACTGAAGGTGGGTACAACCTTTTGCAAAAGCCAAGGTAAAGTTACATATGAACAAAATTTTTGCTGGATGAGCTGATGTTCTTTGCACTTAATGCAAAACATAGCTCATGTTATGAGGTTTATGTAGAGAGTGTGATAGTTTTTCTGCGACATTGGATTCGTACAAAAATTTCCAAAAACCTGTGAAAAAATCAGGAATTTCTACTACTTAAAATAAAAACTTGAAAACTTCCTCATTTTTTATCCAATTTTTTTCAAGCATGTTGCAAAAAATTTGCCATCATGCAAGAAATAAGAGTGTGGTTCTGGTCCTGCTCACTTCCCCGTGTATAATGAAAAACTGTTCAAAAAGCCCATTTTTTGGATATAATTTCCAAATTGTCTTGTATGAATGATTGGTTTAGATTATTTCAGTTAAGTGGATGAAATCTGTGATAAACTAGGTCCAAAATCAGCTTTTACCATTTAGCCAATAGTTTCTTCATATAATTCCATCCTAAATTGACAATCAAACAACCTTTGATGCAAAGATTGTTTGAGAAGGATTACTGAAGCATTAAAAAGGAAAAATTCCTGAAGAACCTCTTATTAACCCCAGCTTTACAGTAAACGTGCGAAGAAAGAGTGGGGTGTTCATATGTTTGCACTTGCAGTTGAATCGACTGTTGATTAGTTGTCTCGACTGTCGATTAGTTGTCCTATGGCCATTGTCTGCGATCAACATTACTCCAAGAAAGCATATGAAAATTGTAATGATGCATGAACACACTGGCATGCCTTACCAGTAAGCAAATCAAAGTACTATAGATTGGCTCGGAAACTCTCCTAATTTAAATCCAATTGAGAATCTGTGGTTAATCTGCAAGGAACGACTTTGTGAAATGGACATACAAAGTACTAACATGCACAGTGGATCATGTTTCATTGGAAAAATACGAAAAAAGTAAATAATAATGGAATTATTTGTTTTGTTTCAATTAACTTGCACAAGGGTGTATATTGCTACATTATCAAAGGTAGAACAAAGTTTAAATCAGGAAATAAAACAATTATATAATAATGCTTCCAAATAAGGTTTTATTGGTTCATGCAATACAGAGGCTAAAAAAACCCAAATAATATATATTTACAATCCTGAATGGGTAAATATTCAGTAATACCAAAAGACTCTGCTATAGAAAGTTGTAAACAATGTATGGTGCTGCCCTTGCAGCTGCTCAATGAACTAATGGTGGCTGATTAAAAAATGCTGAGAATTATTGGACCACATAGAGCCAGATTAAAGAGGCTGGAATGTATAATAATTATTGTTTCCTATATGAGCACTGGGAAAAGTGCGAAAAAATAATGAGCTTCAGCGGTGGGAATTTCCTTAAAAAATGTCACCCTCATCTTTTATTAAGCAGTCAAGAATATAGATATATACATGTTATATGAATAACTGAACATGAGTTTAATCTGATTCACATTTTTGTGCAGATATAAATGTCCTTGATTGTACAATCCCCAAAGTTGAGCAACATCGATCTTGGTTAGATGGGTGACCGCTTGCGAATACTAAGTGCTGTAAGCTTGAATGCATGAGTGGTGTAATTGATAATGCGTGGGTGGTGTAATAGATAATGGCTGAGAATTGGAGATCAGAGACCTGAGTTGAAAGACCAATCAGTTTCATTATATTCACTTATACACAAATACTCTTGAGAAAGATATGAATCCACCTTTTTTCCCCAGCTATGGGTTAATTAGTAGGATTTGTATCAGTAAATCATTATTATCTCAAAAAAAATTTCTTAAAATCTAAAAATATTTTCTAGCTTTAAATAACCTGCAAAAAGGTTGATAAGCTGTAAAAAAAAACAAAGTAGTCAGTCAATCAATCCAAAACTTTTGGATGCGACTTCAAATATTAATCCTTTCCTCACTGAAATTATTTTAAAATTTTGCCAATTTGAAGGTAACTTAAATTTAAACTTAATCTGTTAGCTTGTGAATACTAGGTGCTGTAAGCTTGGATGTGTGGGTGGTGTAATAGATAATGGCTCAGAGTTGGAGATCAAAGAGCTGAGTTCCAATTCCAGTCAGATTTGTTATATTCACTTATGTGCAAATACCCTGTGGAAAGGTATGAATCTAACTCTTCTCCACCAAATTATAGGTTAATTAGTAGGACTTTTATTAGTAAATTATTATCTCCAAAATATTCTTATAATTTGAAATATTTTCTGCCTTTAAATAACTTGCAAAAAGGTTGATAAGCTGTAAAAAACTTTGGTAAAGTCATGTATTCAAATTTCCTTGTCCTCTTTCTTGAATAAAAAAAAATGATCTAATTTTATTCTTCTCTCAGGATAGAAGAGACATTTTCAGTGATTGTGAGAAAATTGCCAGACATCTTCAGAGAATCATCAGATATTTTCAGATAATTACCAAATATTTTCAGATAATTTTATGCAGAAATATTTACTGATGCTCAGAAATTAGTAAAAGCAAATTGAATGCATAAACAAACAGTTCAGATTGTTTTTCACATTTTACAGAATTCAACTGCTGACAGCTGTGCTTCAGAAAAGCTTGTTCCGCAGACATCAACTTCAGAAAGCCATGCAGTGGAAAGATGTTTTACTTGCTGGCGATGATAACATTGTCAATTATTACTTAGCGCTAAATAGCAGCTTCCCTCAGGTACAAAAGCGGCCTTCAGATTTACTGCAATTTTCCAGAGAAGAAGAGAATGTTGCAGAAGACAATGAAAAGCACTTACAGAAAAGCATGTCTCCAAGACAGTGCTATGGAGAAAATAATGAAATTCTAATGTTGGATTCATCACAACAAGAAGCAGAAGGCATGACAAATATTCAAAGTAATCCAAACAACCAAAAATCATCAGGTAATGATAAAGAATATTTTGTATCATTGTCCTCTGATAATGACTGGCAAATTCCACCTTTGTTGCCAGGTGATGATATAAAGCCCAGTATCAGTCAGAATTATTCAACAGCACACTCGGCAAATATCAAATATACCAAATCAACAGGAATGAAATTCAGAAAAGACCGCAAACAGGCAAGAAACCAGCCGCTGAAAAAATCTAAGAAGTCTCCTGTGCCATCGTTTTCCCAATCAAGCAATTTTCCTAGTAGTTACAAAGAATCTGAGGATGAAGATGAAGATGAGGATTTATTACAGGTAGAAAAGGATTATGGGCAACCTGTAAATTGGTTAGGAAGAGGAAGAGATTCACATGAGACGATCATTAAAGAAATCAAAAAAGTTACATCAAGCAACCTCCCAAATGATGAAAAAGTAAATCTAGTCCAAAACCTCCTGTCAATGCTTCAACTACAGTCCCCAAATGATACTCCCACAGACAGTGCTTACCTTATGGCTTTACAAGAGGCAAAGCAGCAGAGGCCAAGGTTAAATAGTCTTAACTGTAGAAGTAGCAGTGGGGCAATCTCCAAGACAACAGCAGGTCTTTCAAGCAAAGCTCATCATTCTCATCATCATCCTCCTCGAACAACAAGGACTAAAACTCGAAAATCATCTACCATGGATTCTAGAGGAAAGATGTCTGATTTGGAAGAGAGAAATAAGTTTGTATCAACAAATCCAATGATTTGTTCATGTATTCAGTTAAACTGCGGGCATAATAATTTGCTTCGACTACAAGATGAATATCTTTCCCATTCAATGCATAACTTGGGTAGAGATGAAGTTATATATGACAAACTCAGTGACACCGTCTCTTTGACTAAGGAGCATGACAGTTACCCAAATTTAAATCACCCAGAAAATTTGTTGGCCAACACTGCATCTAGGGCCTACAATAATCCACCATGGATTCCATCAAACTTTGTCCACCGTCCACATAGCAAGGACTGCCCTGGTCGCCCTCCGTCCCCCATGGCAGAGTGGATGAATTGCTGTGGTGCTGCTGATGTATTGGCTGAAGACTTTAACACTGTTAGTTTGTATTCTTCTTCATGGGACAAAAGTGAATCAGAACAGTAAGTAATTATTTATCTATCAACAGAAATACCAAACACTCTGTGTTAGAGAATATGAGACACCTTGTGTCTTAGTGGCTTTATTGCCTTGCTTGGGTTGAAAGGATTAAGAAAAACAAAACTAAATGAAATGTAATTTTTGAAATTAACCAACATACAACAAACGTAATTTTTTCTGTAAATATTCTTTGTTTACCAGCACCTAAAAATAAATGATATAAACACAAAGCAGACTAAAATGATTTCAAGATCAATTTTAAGTTTCTGCCATGTAAAATAAGTTTTATGATTTAATTATAATAGACTAATTATTTTTCTTTATTGCATAAAGGATATATATAAAAGCAATTGAAATTAAGATGGCATAAATACAAAACAAAAATGGCCGACAATAGTTCATCTTATCAAACCCAAGATAATATTACTACTACTGTTACAAAAGCAATATTAGTTTAAAAATGACTGATAAGAGAGAGTTGTTTTTTTATGTCTTTTCCATTTAGATTAGATGATCTACAAGAAATAACCAAAGATGAATCATTTGATTGCCAGTTTTATGAGCAACAGCAAGAAGAAGTTCGGTCCAGCCTGCAGAGAACGGAGAAAATACTCTTG